GGGGAAGGCCAGTGACCATCTGGTGTGAGGGGCCCCTGGAGGCCCAGGAGTTCCGTCTGCATAAAGAGGGAAGCTCAGGGCCCTGGGACAGACAGAGACCACTGGAGCCCGGGAACAAGGCCAAGTTCTCCATCACATACATGACTGAGCACCATGCAGGGAGATATCAATGCCTCTATCTCAGCCCTGCTGGGTGGTCAGAGCCCAGTGACCCCCTGGAGCTGGTGGTGGTGACAGGTGAGAGGACACTCAGGGGCCCCTGCCCCAGGCTCTGCCCTCAGGGAGGGGGTCTGCCCCCAGGGGTCCCTCTCACAGCCCAGCTGGGGGTGGTGTGGGAGGAGGGAGCCAGAGCCATGAACACCTGCCTCCTTCTCTCCTAGGATCCTACAGCAAACCCTGGATCTCAGCCCTGCCCAGCCCTGTGCTGACCTCAGGAGGGAACGTGACCCTCCAGTGTGGCTCAGGGCAGGGATATGGCAGGTTTATTCTCACCAAGGAAGGAGGACACCACCTCACCTGGACCCTGGACTCACAGCAAGACCCCAGTGGGCAGTTCCAGGCCCTGTTCCCTGTGGGTCCCGTGATCCCCAACCACAGGTGGACATTCACATGCTACGGCTATTACAGGAGCAAACCCCAGGTGTGGTCAGTGCCCAGTGACCCCCTGGAGCTCCTGGTCTCAGGTGAGGAATTTGCTTTCTTGCCCCTTTAGTTTTTGAGACAACAGATATATTCCTGGAATTTTATCGCACAAGTGTTCCAAGTATGAGGGTAGATAGAAGGAAGCTGGGGATCCTGATCCAGAGTCCCCAAGTGTGAGAGGGTGACCTGCAGGCAGGACGGGACAGGCAGGGGTTGGCAGGACCCAGCCCTCAGCCCAGGCTCCTCTTCCTCCAGGGGTGTCCAGGAAGCCCTCCCTCCTGACCCAGCAGGGCCCTGTCCTGGCCCCTGGAGAGAACCTGGCCCTCCAGTGTCACTCAGATGTCACCTATGACAGATTCACTCTGTCCAAGGAGGGGGCACAGGACCTCCCCCAGCGCCCTGCCCAGCAGCCCCAGGCTGGGCTCTCTCAGGCTGACTTCCTGCTGGGCCCTGGGAGCAGCTCCCACGGGGGTCAGTACAGGTGCTATGGTGGACACAGCCTCTCCTCTGAGTGGCCAGCCCCCAGTGACCCCCTGGACATCCTGGTCTCAGGTGAGGAGCCCAGAGGGTGCAGTCAGGGACCCAGACTCTGCACAGCCCTGTTGGGGAGCTCCAGGAGGTGATGGCCAGGAGAGGTGTGGGGTCTCAGGAGAGAGAGAGACAGGGAGGGGCAGAGAGGACAGAGACAGGGGACACAGGGACAGGAAGAATCAGAGACAATGAGACAGACAGAGAGCACAGGGTCCTCAGAGAGAGGCCCTGGGGAGGTCTCAGCTCAGAACAGGCTGGGGCCACCCTCACCCTCCTTCCTCTCTCTAGGACAGCTCCCTGGCACACCCTCCCTCTCAGTGCAGCCTGGTCCCACAGTGTCCTCAGGGGAGAACGTCACCCTGCTGTGTCAGTCACAGATCAAGATGGACACTTTCCTCCTGTGCAAGGAGGGGGCAGCTGATCCCCCCCTGCGTCTGAGAGCAGAGTACCGAGCCCCATGGTACCAGGCAGAGTTCTCCATGAGAGCTGTGACCCCAGCCCTCGGGGGGACCTACAGGTGCTATGGCTCTCACAGCTCATCCCCCTACCTGCTGTCATGGCCCAGTGCCCCCCTGGACCTGGTGGTCTCATGGGAGTGACCCTGACCCCATCCTCTGTGAGATCAAGGATTCCCTCAGGGCCCTACCCAGGACAGCTCTGGGTGGGATGGGAGTGAGGGGCCTAGGGAGGGTCGGCCAGCGGGACTCACCCCTCAGAGAGGAGGGGCCAACGGGGTCCTCCCGCCTGTGCACCCACCCACCACTGGAATCAGGAAGGTGCAGGTGGGCACAGGAGGGTCCTGGGGAGGCCAGGCAGGTGTAGGAGGATGGGCAGAGACAGTCCCCAGGGGCAGCCTGCACCCCTCACCCTCCTGTTCTCCTCATTCCCAGGACCCTCTGGGGGACCCAGCCCCCCACCCTCAGGACCCAGGTCACCAGCTGGTGAGTCTCAGGGCACCAACCTAGGGTTTCCTGAGTCTCCTGGGGGCTGGACTCCAAGCCACCTTCCAGCCATCTAAGTGTCAGCCTGGCTGGTGTTCCTAGAGCTGGGTGGGGTGGAGAGGTGGGTGGGGACCAGCAGGGCTGGCACACAGTAGGTGCTCAGGTAAGCAGCGTGGCTCCTCGTCCACTCCCGTGCCCAGGACTGGGAAGGCACCTGCCGGTTCTGGTCGGGGTCTCAGTGGCCGTCCTCTTGCTGCTCGTCCTCCTCGTCCACCTCCTCCTCTGGCGTCACAGCAGACGCAGGAAGGCAGGTGAGTGGCACTGGGTGACCTGGCTCTCAGCAGGCGGTGGCCTCCCCATGGGCCAGGCAAGGGTGGGCTCAGGCCAGCAGCCCCAGGGAAACCTGCCCGCTGGGGACAGGTCACTTGGAAACACTTCTCCAGAAAATAGAGAAGAGCAGGCCCCTGCTCGCTGCTTCTAGACCAGTGTAGCAGGTGTGGACCCTTCCCGTCTCAGGGGACAGGAGGGGGTCTTCAAGTCCCCCTTCCCCTGTGGTGGCCTGTGGGGGCCAGTGGTTCCCCCTGGGGCTGAGACTGTCCCCTCATGCAGCCCAGACAGACACTGGCTTCCAGGGACCTGCAGGGGACACAAGGGCAGCACCCAAGGACAGAGGCCAGCAGAAGAGGTGATTCCTGCTCCTGAGTCAGAGCCCCCTCACTGTCCCTCACTGCCCCCTGACACCCCTTGTCCCCCCCACTGTCCCTCACTGCCACCTGACACTCCCTTGTTCCCTCTACCAACCATCACTGCCACATGACACCAACTTGTCCCACCCATTGTCCCTCACTGCCACCTGACACCCCTTGTCCCCCAAACCATCTCTCACTGCCACCTGACACCCCTTGTCCCCCCACTGTCCCTCACTGCCACCTGACACCCCTTGTCCCCCAAACCATCTCTCACTGCCACCTGACACCCCTTGTCCCCCCACCGTCCCTCACTGCCAACTGACATCCCTTGTCCCTCTCATTGTCCCTCACTGTTACCTGACATCCACTTGTTCCCCCCACTGTCCCTCACTGCCACCTGACACCCCCTTGTCCCCCTCACTGTCCCTCACTACCACCTGACACCCCTTGTCCCCCCACCATCCCTCACTGCCACCTGACACCCCCTTGTCCCCCTCACTGTCCCTCACTACCACCTGACACACCTTGTCGCCCCACAGTCCCTCACTGCCACCTGACACCCCCTTGTTCCCCCCACTGTCCCTCACTGCCACCTGACACCCCCTTGTCCCCCTCATTGTCCCTCACTGCCACCTGACACACCCTTGTCCCCCTCATTGTCCCTCACTGCCACCTGTCACCCCCTTGTT